TTTCAATCACAATCCACGGATTTCGGCACCATGTGGTATCAAACAACCTTCTCAAACAAACCTTCCGTTATTATTTACAACGACATCTTCAACCGATCCAAACCGACATAACTGACCGACCGACCGACCGACCAACACTTTCTCTCAATTCCACATAACCGACCGACCGACCGACCGACCGACCGACATCACACACAAAATTCACCAACCGACCCGACCGTCCGACATCTTTGATCTTTTCATCCCCATCTCACAGTTTTCCCTCCAAAAAAGTATAAACATTCAGCTGACGACGAACTCTACCGGTTTCTACTGGCCGCGTCGCCATGACAACGGTTCTCTACCGTTCCGCCGCTCCGTAGTATGACGGAGCCGCCGCTCCGTAGTAAGTTCAAGACAGGCCGGTAGATGGCAGCACGTACCGCGCGGCGCGGCGGTAGCGGCAGAGTCCGCGACAGGGGGTGACTTTGCCTTGCGGGGTGACTTTGCCATGCTTCTCGAAAAAGCCTATAGGGAGATCTCCAGTGATATTTTACGAAGATTGTAATACTTTTTTATGCACGCATGAAAGATAATTGATGGGCCTTCTAATATAATCAACACTGAGAGATAAGTTACCACTAAATGCCTAACTGGGCTCCATTTTATTTGAGTCATTGAAATGGTCAAATTTGAAGAGGTCAGAACTTTTTATTATCTAACCATGTTTCAGACGAACTGCGATGCTGAAACTTGGTATGGTTGATCATGACAATGCTGTTTAGTTAGCATATCCAACAAAACTGGCATTTGTCACTTCTTTTAGCTAAAATTTTTGGTGGAAATTTTTCCAAGTGAATCGCGGGCCACATGGGGTGACTTTGCCACCATGTTATCAATGTAAAAATGAAATACTTATCCGATGCAATTCAAAATAATTTTTTAAGGTAGCATCATTTTGAGTTCCAAATTGGTTTTTAGAAAGTAAAAGTTTATATATTGAAAATTAACACAGGAATGCACAGTGGTAGTATAGAAAAGCAAAAATTACCTAAATAAAAAATGGATGAAGCTCGGCCCAATTTTTCAGCACAGCCAAGATCATCTACATTTCTTGAGATGGCCAGTATGACTGGCTGAAGAAATCTGTACCATTTTATAGATCAAAACGCTGATAATAAGGGTGCCGGAAAGTTGCCGCAAGAACGTCCTCTTTCTGTTCCTCTGAATGCCGCTGGAAGAAAGCGGCAAGCTCCTAGAGTACCGATACAATCATATTTCTGCTTATTTATCTATTCTGAACCATTTTTCAGTTTCTATTTACTATAAAATGTCAATTATTTTCAACAAGTATAATGTATTATAAAAAGTAATGTATCTCTTCTTTTTGTACATCATTTAACCCGGCAGGCGGTGGGCCTACCAGCCACCTTCCGCGCGGTGGGGGGGGGGGGGCACTTTTTTGCCCCCCCCCGTATCTCCGAAACTACTAGACGGATCCGGAAAATTCAAACGGCGTTCGATAGCCCTGTCAAATTTGTCGAGGGAAACCAAATTTCATTGACCTCGGGGTCACCGATGACGTCACAGGTCAGGTCAAAGATAAAATGTTTCACCGTTCACGGGGCTTCTAGGGAAAGCGCTATAACACCGAGTAAAACGCATTTTGTCGAAAATCAGCGATAAGGCGTCAGTTGTCTAGTACATATGTTGCTATTCGAGGTCACTGGTCATACCAGGTCAGGTCACAGGTCAGGTCACCAAAGGTCACCAAGGGTCACCACATGAGCCCAACTTTACTAAGGTTATGCGATGCATGTTTTATGGCCAGTTTTTCATTTCCAACTCAATGGTGTTGGTTATAAGACCATCAGGTACGGTTTAGGTCACTTTCTGGTCTAGGTCAGGTCAAGGTCAGGTCAAAAAAGGTCAAATTTCAAAGTTGATATTTTTGCATAAAATGGGTATCGATTCGATGCAGCTCGTCACGGGGAGTCTAATGGTGGTCTTTGTTTTGCGCTACAAGGTCTAGAATTGCTAAAAATTGAGTTTGAAAATTTGACATCATCAATTTTGAACAGTTTTTTCGCTATAACTTGGCCAAAAAAAGAGGTATCGATCTCAAATTTGGTATGTTAATAGAAGACGGTATGGGCTATCACATATATTCCGGTTTTTTTCGAAAATCAAAAAACTTTTTGGATTTTTAGGCTATTATATTCAAAAAATCTATTTTTTGATTTTTGGGGGTCAAAATTCAAAAAATTCGAAAAACCGAAATAGCAGTTTTGTAGCCCTTTTAATTCCACACCTTTTATTTTTTAAACATTTTTCTGTATCTCTAAAGCTGTAGGCCTGACAGCTCTTCCCGCGAAACCTTTTTTTGGGTCGAAAATGGCAAAAATGACGTCACTCTGACGTCATTAGCGGCCAACCTATCATAGCCTTTGGGAAAATTTTTGGTCACCATGTGCGCTAGCTGCTCCCGGGAGGGTACTGAAAGTTTGGTGACGATCGGCGCAGCGGTTCTCGAGATATATCGAAAAAACTAAAGGGGGGGGGCAAAAAAATGCCCCCCCCCCCACCGCCTGGAAGGTTAAGAGCAAAAAACTTCGAATTGCTCTATATTTTCCCATTCAACAATGAAGGATGGTTGCCCTTCCCCATACAACTGAAAAAATGTTTGATAAATATTTGGTAGCGTTAACCCGGCAGTTGCTGGGGTATTTCGCCACCCACCGTTTGCTGGGGGGGGGGGGGGGGGCGTTAAACGCCCCCAGCCGATAACTCGAGAACCAATGGGCGCAGCGAAACGCACGGGGCGGCAAACGAAAGAACGCGACAAGACGCTTCAGATGAGTACTTTAAAGTTGAATTTCGAGGTCACAGGTCAGGTCAAGGTCAGGTCAAACACCTGAAATCGGGCTTTCAGTAGCATGGACTTCAGGACTTCGCAATGGGCGCCTCTCGTCATAAACTCTGTCAAAACGGTGCACAATCCATCATATAAGGCCTACAAGAGTGTCAGCTCCATGCAGGGGTCAGTCAAGTATAGGTCAGGGTCAAGGTCAGGTCAACCGGGCAGGCACATATCCCCGAAAATAAAAACTGATATACGCAGCCTGTGACACATGTTTTATGGGTAATTTGGGGCGTAGAAAACGATGGTGACATTCATTTTATCATATGTGTACGTGTTTGGCTAAAAAAGTTCAATTTAAGAAATTAATGTATCATGGTCGTGAAGTAGTCACGAGAAATTGCCAAGATTCAGTTCAAGATTTTGGAAAATGGGGATCCATAATCAATAATCGAAGATAGCCATTTGATTGTTCATGGTATTGGCAGTCTAATGGCGTTTACGGCATGTCTATATGTCTATTCTGTGATTTTATATGATTTTTTGAACATATGCCGTTTTTGGTCGAAAACTCAGAAATCATGACGTCACTAAAACCTCGATATCTCAAAAATTTTCAGACCGATTTTTTTTAAACTTTGTCACAATAAACTTCAATCAATTCCCTACAGGTACCCAAAATTTGGCGCGCCTGCGGCGCGCCGTTTTTATGCTATGTCCCGGCGAAAAAAGTGGGGGCGTTTAACGCCCCCCCCCCCCAGCAACTCGCGGGTTAAAAATCATTATTTGGCATAGTGGCAAAGTCACCCCTTTTTCAGTTTAACTTTGTCACAACTCATTTTCTTTTAAAAAATTATATTTTCAGGCTAGATATAAATACGATAATAGCAAAACCCAAAGAGCTAATCTTCATCCGTGTTTTGAACATAGAGTCATCCCAATACGTTAGCAAGTTTAAAGAATACAAGCGTCTAAAGTTGAAAACATGGCAAAGTCACCCCCGTTTACGGTACGTGAATCGACAGCGGATGCACTTTAAATCTATTCTTTCTTAGGTTTGTCAGACTAATTGATAAATCGCATCGCGTTTAACATAACGGTACATCATTGGAGTTCAAAACTTATTTTGAAAATATTATTGATATCACTGATACATGTGCGCTAACCAGTTTTTTCAGTGATTTACCTAGCAATCCTCGTGCTGTGTTCAAAAAGATGTTTACAGTGAGGTCGAACTTCAAAAAACGAACTATAGTAATGCAGCGTTGAACACAAATGGTTTAGGCAATTTCAGAAGGGACAGTATGTTTGTCTGCAAGTGGAGAAAGCGGAAGAGCCTTATCACAGTTGATAAGGAACAAAGACATTTGAAGCAGCAGAAAACTAATTAGGCAAAGTTCAGAATGTTCAGTGCAACCCAATGACATCCGGGTACATTTCATTTCATTTGCATTTGTACGTTTCAATGAATGGCGTAAATGGACTATCCCACCTTCTAAAATGTTGTTAAAACCAGTTAAATTGTGTCCGACTTTATAGATTGGATGACCAGGAACACGGTTCTGGCATTTATTTTTCATTAAACATCTTAGGCTTCCCATATTCCAAACACAAACTTTCAAATATGTGACGTCACAGCCCAAAATTACCTCTTTCCCCAGGCCACATTACTGTCATAAAGCTGATTCTTTTTACTCTGTAGGCACCACAACAAAGTTCAGACCAAGTTTTAAGCGATTTTTCAACGAACAAACCCATTTAAATCAGAATGACTAAACGAGGTGACGTCACACTAACGGTCGCTCCATGTTGAAGATAGGGCCTTGCGCAAGGCCCATTTTCAAATGAAGGGAACGAATTTCTTCAACACCAAGAGGCCGCGGGGGTTGCAACCTAGATAGATAGTGGTTTCTGAACCTCGCCGCAAACTTGGCTATCTCAACTCAAACCCCATGTTAAAGGTGGGATAGTCCCTTTAATACGAAAAACAACCAAGTTTTGGCCACTTGAGTTTTTGCCAGTTTTTGACACCATGGTTTCTGCCAACTGGTTTAAACCTGTTAAAACCACTGACAGAAATCAGTTTATCCACCCCTGCCACCCCTGGTGTCGTCTCGAGTCGGTACATCCCCGAGTCAGTCTGAGGGGCTCCGTTTCGCAGGCGGGTATCATGTGCTCGCTGAACGCGCGCGTGTCGATTCTGGCGGCGGCCAACCCTGCGTACGGCCGCTACAACCCGCGCCGCTCGGTGGAGGCCAACGTGCAGCTGCCGGCGGCGCTGCTCTCCCGGTTCGACCTGCTCTGGCTGCTCATGGACAAGGCCGACCAGGAGAACGACCTCAGGTGAGCAGACGAGCACTAACACACCACCTTTGTTCAGTTGTTGTTCTTCCCTCCACCTCTAATGAAGTGTAGCCTGTAGGCTGTGGGCGCCTCTGGCGGCCGCCGCCACGGCGGTCTCCCGGACCTCCTCCGGCTCCGGGTGAATAACAGACCACCTCGGGGGAGCAGCCGACCAGCAGCCGTAGCTCAGTCCGGGGTGAGGGTGACCAGCAGCATTAGCTCAGTCCGGGGTGAGGCTGGCCAGCAGCCGTAGCTCAGTCCGGGGTGAGGCTGGCCAGCAGCTGTGATGTGTGGTGACTGACCGCTCTGTGTCGGTCAGTGGTCAGCTAACGGCTGACTGTTTCGCTGCAGGCTGGCCAAGCACATTACCTACGTGCACCAGAACTGCGTGCAGCCGCCGAGCCAGTTCGACCCGCTCAGCATGCGCCTCATCCGACGCTACGTGGCGCTCTGTCGTCGCAAACAGCCGACCGTGCCCGAGGCGCTGGCGGAGTACCTCGTCGGTGAGTGGGGGCCGGCTGGGGGGAGTAAAAACCACTTCTCAGGATTTTCTTTGCGGGAACATTGTTCTTGAGAACCAAATATAATACCAACCAAAAATCATCAAAATCGGTCTATATCTTCTATGTGCTGATCAGAACTTTTCGATAACCCCTCGTATTGTTCAATCTTATTCAGTTAAAAGGAAAAGGAGAAGAAAAATGGAACATTCAGCTATGTGGTGCCCGGAACAAAGCACGTAACTGTTGTGATAATTTTGGCTGCATTATATCGCCACCATATGCTTACATGTAGAAAATATAGTTACTGGGGTAGGTTAGATGGATATCTGTCGCTATCCGTGTGCGGGCTATCCCTCACACTTTTAGGGGTGTGGGTCGGATAAAAGTTAAAACCTCTCGTTTTTTCGCGAGCAACTCGCGCTAAAAGCGGCCGATCGTGAAGACTTTGAGTATCCTCGAACGTATCTACGTTACTGGATACACATTCCTTATACAGTTCATGATCCTGAAACCAATGGCCTTTGACCTTTGATCTGATTTCGGAGACCATGTCAGACCGAAATGATTTGCCGTATACGAACTGCGTTTCCAGACTTCTATTTTGATTACATATAGCCGTGCCAACATGTGAACTGATGGTTGTCCAGTGTCCTAAAATTGATTTTCCGGAGAGTGTGATTGAAGCCGCAAGGACGTCACTATTTCAAAAGGACGTCGATATCGGTGCGGAGCCTAAGCCACTGAAGATCCCTTAAATCTCTTGAAATTAGCGATTTTCACTGGCAATTTCTAATAATAGCACCTCAAGGCACCTCGACACAAAGTAATGCCAGTTTGCCCCTAGTACAATACAAAATTCAATTATTCACCACAAACACAAAAACAACACTTTGAAGATGTTAATCTCTTGTCCATTATCGTACACAACAGTCAACAACAAATATGTTTCAACAAAAATCAGCCCAAGAGCCAACGGCTATCTCTAAATATTGACGTCATAGGAGTGATATTATATCGAGCAAGAGGAGTGACGTAAAAAACAGACGTCAAAACAAAGAGATGGAAAACAGTTAGGAAAATTAATTTCCATAGCTTCCTGTTATGAAATTCAATCAAGAAAACTCCAAGACGCTGAATTTTTCTTGGCTGTAAAAAATGTGAAATCATTGTGCACTTTTCAGTTTTGTACCGACGTCGATTAAACGGGAATGACAAGGTCAATCGACGTCCCCAACATTGCGTGTATTTTTAAGCCAAGGACGGCGTACTTAAATTAAAACTGTTAAAATTCGGTAACTTAATTTACATTCAAACAAATAAACACAAACTTTTTAAACAACCAGTATCAACATATGCAAAATTAACTACCTTTGAAGTGCATGCTCGAGGGGCAGCGCTATCCCGTTACTGTGACCTTCCGAGGGAAAAAAATAATTAAATATGTTACATGTGATTCGATACAAAAGGTATGTTGTGTGCTTATAGATAAATGTCGAAGCAATATATTCGCATGATTTATTTTTATCTATACACTGCACAGTTACTTAAACTGAAAAGTGGAAAACGACGTCCTCAGATCTCTCTATTCCGACATCTTTTCTCCTTCATATGGCAGCTATTACCTTCACATGGTAAAGGAAAAAACTTCCATATCTGACGCACAGAAAACGAAAATAAAACCGCGTTGTTTACTGTACTGGTACGGCAGTTGGCCAGCGGTGTAGGAAAGATGAGTTGAGTGTGGGTTTGTGAGGCCTTGGGATATATTTATTGTGATTTTGCATAGCCGTGTTTTTAGGCCACAGAGGTGATATTTCTTTTTGTTGTTTGCTTTTGGTGTTCGATATACCTGTCGACTTTTATCTGTCAGGGACGTCGTTTAGCTTTCCGGGACGTCGCAAAGAGAATCTGTTCGGGTATGGGTTTCCACCCAAATTCACGAAAATCAGGACACTGAGGTTGTCCAATGCATTATGATGGGTTTCAAGTTGACTTATCGGCCAGGTCAAGGTCATTGACGTTTGGTGATATCGTGTGACTGTTTCGAATTTCACGGTTTTAAGGGAAGTTTTTTAAGGGAAGGGATCGTTGATACATTTGAGAAGTCGTGGTGCCAATACAACTTGTTACGAAGCTGTCGCTGGTGGTTTAGGTACACCTGCTATGAACAAATGGTGCTGGTGGGACGCCTACTACTTGACCCAAACTTACCCAACCCAGCCTAGCTTAATCCTCGCCCCCTTCCCATAGTTATTTTCTTCGTGATAGCTCCGAACACGCCAGCGACAGAGAGCTGCGACTAGGCATACCTGACCTTTGATTCAAGCCAAATATTGTGACACCAACCAGATTTTCAGGACAGGTCAGGCTACTGACCTATGACGTCATAAGTGAACCTCTGCACGGTCCTCGGATGCCGCAATTTCGCAACGCCCTCAGTCCCAGAGGAGCTTTCACAGGGGGATGAAACTTACAGTACGTGTATCCCCTTGTGGTCTCACAACTTGTACGTCTCGGATTTTTCCTGAAGATCACATGAGGTCAGGTCGGTCACGTGACTTCACCATTATAAGTCAATGGGGGAAAAATGAAAGCTGCAATTTTTGCGCCGGGAACGATCTCAAACTATCTCAAGCACACGGATCATGATTTCATGCACTCCTTGGATGCTTCAATTTTGCATTGCTGACGTTGCGTGACGTCATTTATGACGAGTTTTTCGTCAATAACTCCCGATCAAACTGAGCTAGCCAGACGGTTAAGCCACCAATGGACTCAGAAAGACCTGCCGAATCGACTGATATGCAACATGACCTCTTTTGACCAACCTCGCGACCTAGGGGTCTCTGACCTGACCCTGAGCCGAAGTCAACGCCTCAAGTTGACCTCACCCGAACAAAAAAGTATACCATTCGACGCGCCTGAGCAAGGCGAGCACGTTGATGCTAAAATCGCGCTCTGCGGCCGTTTTTTAAGAAGCTATTTACCAAAAACCGAACCCGTGTCTTGGGCCTCTTGACCTGACCTCAGAGGTCACCGGTTGACCTGAGACCTTAAAATCGGGTACTAGTCACTTCGTCTCCTAACGGCACACACGCTCGTTTTTCCGCGACGCTCTAACTCCATCAGGGACGAAAAACGACGGAGCGGGGGTCGAACCAACGCTCCCCTTCCTCCGGCCAGCGCGTATGTAGAAAACCAACATGTCCGGCGGGGGTTAACCCTCGCCTTTATGGTGTTTTGCTCAGCCCCCGTTCACGAGCCTCATAATTCCTTTACCGTGACGTCACGTGGGCTACAAAAATCCCTTCACCCCATAATGATCCATACAAATGATGCCGAGTTATGAGCTGGGCTGACGCCTAAGTTGAGGACTACAATATTACCAGTAAAATGCCTTTTGGGCGAAGGACGAGCGAGCGAGATAGTGAGCCCTGCACGTGCGGAAGGGCGAGAGGGTACTTCCAACGGGGCTTGTGCAAAGCACCCTTCTAACCGGTCGCTAGCGGTGTGCCAAGTTTGAACGCAATCGGCCCAGCCGTTCCTGAGATCTGGAAGCGGCATTCTGCACGTGCGCACGTGCAAACGGGGTCCAAACTGACTTTTGCACGGCACCCTACTAACCGGTCCCCAACCGTGTACCAAATTTGAGCGCAATCGGCCCAGCCGTTCTCGAGATCTGGAAGCGCCCCCTGCACGTGCGCACGTGCAGTAGCACCCTAACCGCAACACATGGGAATGCATTGCCTAGTGGGTGCCTACCTGTATGCCAAGTTTCAGCGAAATCGCCCGAGTAATTACCGAGTTATTGAAATGGGAACAAATTTGGCACCTCTTCTTTTTGTATTTTGCACGTGCAGTAGGGGTAACTCGCATAGATCAAGAGTATCCGACCTTTGGTAGAAGGGATGCAGCTACCCTATAAAAATTACCGTAAGACAATCGCCCAAGCGGCTGCTGACATACGAGCCTCTCAAAATCACTACTTTTGCAAAACAGCTTGAACACCCTTGACTTTTCACGTGGCACGTGCCACGACGGTCACTGAGATGTGTCAAAAGTAGTCAATAACGGGGTAGAAGGGATGGGGCTACCCAGCAAAAAAGACCGCAGGCCAATCGGTCCAGTGGTTGCTGAGATATAATCCTCTCAAAAGCGTTACAGGCCGGGCCGGGCCGGGCCGCTCATACTGAGATTTTTCCGTTATATTGAAAAGACTTCGCTTCGCTCGCTGCGCTCCCTCGCTCGTAATAAAAAGCATACCATTTGACTCAGTGAGGCTTGATTTTTCCTGGGAAGCCTAAGATGTTTAATGAAAAATAAATGCCAGAACCGTGTTCCTGGTCATCCAATCTATAAAGTCGGGCACAATTTAACTGGTTTTAAGAACATTTTAGAAGGTGGGATAGTCCCTTTAAGGTGGTAGGTTTAGGTTGTAGGTTCAATATTGTAGGTTGTAGGTAAGTTTAGGCCAGGTTTGGTTTGGTTAGGTTTGGTTTGATTTGATTAGCAAGCATCTCTGGGTAAAGCGCCTCTCCTTCGTTGCAAAAAGAAGTGTGACGCTTGCTTAACCTTCGCCCCAGTGGGGGGGAGGCATATGTTACCACCCTGTCGCGTTTTTTGCGTGTGAATAAAAACCGCGGCGCTACGCGCCGCGCCGCTTGGGGTAGCTTTTGGTACATCAATTTTGGACAATGTGTAAAATTTTTGACCCCAGGTCATGTCAGGTCAGGTCACCAGGTCAAGTTAACTGACCAAGCCTAAAAAAAGTTTGCAATCATGTCCAGCCTGCAGTGTTTGTCAGAAAGGTTCTAAACTTGGTGGATTGCATGCTGTTATGGGCGTCTACAATTTGTATATTACGGATTTTTTATATCCGTAACCTAAGGTCAGGTCAGTGGCGTGACCTTTCCATTACAAGTCAATTGAGAAAAATGAAAATGCCTGCCTCTAGATCCGTGTGTACGCATAGGAACAGTCCAAATATTTCAGAATCACAA